CTTTCCCTTCAAAGAGGGTGTTCTCCTTGTTTGCAAGTAAGTCATTTTTCATAACATAAAAGTCCTTAGTAGGTATTTGCCCAGGAAACACGGCTTTGCAAGACTTCAAGGGAGGGACTGTCACTCAGTAGTAGAAGGCATGCTATATATTGGGGGGGGGGGCCTTCTTACCAAGACCAGTTTAAAAGAGTGGGAGAGGAAGCAGCATTGCAGCTCTCACAGGAGCGGTACTTGCTTCCTGATTTGGGGACTGGTGTTTATAAATCTGGTTGGTGGAGGGAGCCCAGAACAGATGGCAGGAGAGGAGCAGGTGCCATTCCAGCCACCAAAGCATCCCTTCGAGGTGCCCTCCTCGACTGCCTTGCATCCCTGGATCTCTGAGAACAAATAACTTGCTGGCTCAGCGAAGCATCTGTTTCTCTGCTGGGTCACCAAGCCAGCCTCTCTATCTCTCTGAGGACATCAGGTGGCTTTGAAGTGCATTGTGATTTTCCATTGGAAGGAGGCAGAAGCCGGGCGCCCAGATGAAAGATGTCCAAATGGTGGCAGCTGTTTCTCTCACCACCTAGGTCCACATCTAGCCAGGATTTTCCCCAGAGCTCTTTGGGGGGCAAGCTCACTCTTGACATGCTACCCATGGAAGTGGCTTCTTGTTATTCCATAGTGCTGAATCACATGTGCAAAGCATGGCACTAGGCATCAAACTCAGCTCAGTGACCATGCCAGCTTTTCTGTTTTGTTTATGTTTGCAGCCCTTAAGGCAGAAAGAGGGGTTGCAGAAGACATGGATGGCACCAGACGTTTTTTGCTTTCCAGGCTAAGTTTCAGGTCTGTAGCCCCACCCCCGGGTCAGTCTGCATCCTTCCCTAAAGAGATTCACAGGGTGCCAGCAGTCTTAGAATCATAGAATCATAGAATGTTAGGGTTGGAAGGGACCTTGCAGATCATCTAGTCCAATCCCCTGCACTCATTGTCTGTTGGCAACTAAGTGAAGTCAAGCACAACACAGAAGGCAGCAAAGCTCCATGGGAGCTCTGCTAAGTCCGAGCAATCAGCGGTTGGCGAGGAGATTGCCATCCACCCTCCGGGCCTGCGCTTCTGCTGACCCAGTTCCACATCCATGACCCATCTGGCTGCAGGAGCTTGACTTGGCACTGGAGAAGGAAATGGCAACCCACTCCAGTATCTTTGCCAAGAAAACCCCATGGACTGTAACAAAACGCTAAAAGATATGATGGCGGAAGATGAGCCCCTCAGGTCGGAAGGTGTCCAGTATGCTACTGGGGAAAAGCAGAGGGCAAGTACAAGTAACCCCAGAAAGAATGAAGCGGCTGGGCCAAAGTCAGAAGGACACTCAGCTGTGGATGTGTCTGATGGTGAAAGGAAAGTCCAATGCTGCAAAGAACAATACTGCATAGGAACGTGGAATGTAAGATCTATGAATCAAGGTAAGCTGGATGTGGTCAATGTCCTTGACAACCACAATGGTGTGATCACTGACCTAGAGCCAGACATCCTGGAGTGGAAAGTCAAAAGGGCCTTAGAAAGCATTACTAACAACAAAGCTATCAGAGATTATGGTAACCCAGCTGAACTATTCAAAGTCCTAAAAGACGATGCCGTTAAAGTGCTACACTTAATATGCCAGCAAATTTGGGAAATGCAACAGTGGCCACAGCATTGGACAAGGTCAGTTTACATTCCAATCCCAAAGAAGGGCCATGCCAAGAAGTGTTCAAACTATCGCACAATTGCATTCATTTCCCATGCTAGCAAGGTCATGCTCAAGATCCTACAAGCTAGGCTTCAGCAGTACGTGAATAGAGAACTGCCAGAAGTACAAGCTGGGTTTCAAAGAGGTAGAGGAACTAGAGATCAAATTGCCAACATATACTGGATTATGGAGAAAGCAAGGGAGTACTAGAAAAGCATCTGCTTCTGCTTCATTGACTACACTAAAACCTTCGATTGTGTGGATCACAACAAACTGTGGCAAGTCCTTAAAGAGATGAGAATACCAGAACACCTCACATGTCTCCTAAGAAACCTGTATAAAGGTCAAGAAGCAACAGTTAGAACCAGATATGGAACAACTGGTTAGTTTAGCATAGGAAAAGGAGTACGGCAAGGATGTATATTGTCACCTTGCTTATTTAATTTATATGCAGAGTAAGTAAAGGTTCCCTTGCTTGAAAGCCAGTCGAATCTGACTCTAGAGCTGCAGTGCTCATCTCCGTTTCAAAGCCGAAGAGCCAGCGCTGTCCGAAGATGTTTCTGTGGTCTTGTGGCCGGCATGACTAAACACCAAGGTGCACGGAACACTGTTACCTTCCCACCGAAGTGGTACCTATTTATCTACTGCTAGGTTGGCAGGAGCTGGAACTAGAGATGGGAGCTCACTCCATCATGTGGTACTCGGGTCTCAAACTGCTGAACTACTGACCATCCACAGCCTGCAGTTCAGCGTCTTAACCACTTGAGCCACCGCAGCTCCTCATTTGCAGAGTACATCATGCGAAATGCCAGCCTGGATGAATCAGAAACTGGAATTAAGATTGCCGGGAAAAACATCAACAACCTCAGATATGCAAACAATACCACTCTAATGGCAGAAAGTGAAGAGGACCTCAAGAGCCTCTTGTTGCGAGTGAAAGAGGTGTTAGCCGAATTGCTCTTTAGGAGAGACAATTGGAACAGTTTATGATCGGGGTTCCGGTCAGTTTATACAGAGGGTGGGCTGCCACAATACGTTCCCAATGAAGAGACTGAGACAGAAGACTAAAATTCTCTTTAGTTTACTGAATATCAATCAAGGCACTCAATAGCATACACACACACACATATCACTCTAGCTGCGCAAACTAGAATGAAAAGCGAAGTAGGGGTTGGGGACAGGAAGCTGGGCGTAAGAGGAACAGCAGACAGGGGTCGTAGGAGAAGGGGTGAGGATGAGGTGGTCGCCCTGTGCACTAAGTTTTTAAGATGGCGGGGTGAGCAAGGGGGAGGGCTCAGGCGGCTTAACCTGGTGACCCCTCCCTACAGGTCTGGGACTGGCTAGCGGGGTAAATTTCAAGTCTATTGATTAACTTTTGACCGTTGGTACCTGGGAGGGAGAAAGAGGTATGTGCGGAGACAATAGAGCTGACTCATCACTAGCCATGTGGATTCTTCATGTGGACTGGAATTCTCTTGTAGTCTGGCGGAGGGGGAATTCAGAATAAGCATCTGGAGACCTGGAGTCTGGGCTAACGAATGAGTTTTCTGTGTTTGCTGTAAACCTTGTGTTTGCGTACACATGATAAGCGAGAGACACACAGGAGCACCTCTGAAGCGATATGGGTCAGCGGATCAACATCTTCAGCTGGCATTGTTTCCTCTGGGCACCCTCAATGTGACCTCTTTATTACACAGTCTCTTTTATTAGCCCTTTATATCAAGTTTTATTCATATAACACAGTCCAGAAATAGCCCAATATGATGCATTTGGGCTAACAGAGGAGAGTACAAAAGTTGGCTTGAAACTCAACATCAAAAAAACTAAGATCATGGCATCTGGCTCCATCACTCCTTGGCAAATAGAAGGGGAAGTCATGGAAGCAGTGACAGAATTCACGTTCCTGGGATCCAAGATCACTGCAGACGGTGACTGCAGCCATTAAATTAAAAGACGCCTGCTTCTTGGAAGGAAAGCTATGACAAACCTAGACAGCATAATAAAAAGTAGAGACATCACCTGCCAACAAAAGTTTGTATGGTCGAAGTAATGGTATTCCCAGTAAGTAATGTATGGCTGCGACCATAAGGAAGGCTGAGCGCTGAAGCATAGATGCTTTCAAATTATGGTGCTGGAGAAGACTCTTGAGAGTCCCCTGGACTGCAAGGAGATCAAATCAGTCAATCCTAAAAGAAATCAACCCTGACTGTTCCCTGGAAGGCCAGATAATGAAACTGAAGCTCAAATACTTTGGTCAGCAAATCAGAAGGGAGCACTCACTGGAGAAGACCCCGATGCTGGGAATGATTGAAGGTAAGAGAAGAAGGGGATGGTAAAGGATAAGATGGTCAGACAGTGTTATTGATGCAGCGAACATGAAATTGAGCAAACTCCGGAGGACGCCAGAAGACAGGAGGGCATGGCATGATGTGGTCCATGGGATCGTGAAGAGTCAGACTCGACTGTGCAACTGAACAACAACAAGTAGCACTGGGCCCAGGAGGGGATGGGCATATTTTGCTCAGGCACGAAAATACTTTGAATCAGCCCTGTTCCCTTCAATTGTCTTATGAGCTCAGCAACGTTTTCCCACTACCAACTGACAGGGTAGAATCACGCACTACATAATTATTTCCCTCAAGGTCGGGAGTCAACAGCCAGGTGGGCTCGGCCCAGGAGGTGAGAGGCGCCCATGAGTCTCAAGTCCGCGCCCCACCTTCAGCTCCTTTGGGCTCCGCTTCCGTCACTGGAGCCACCGTGGTCTGTTGCTCCAGTGCAGTGCTGTCCGCCGCAGTTGTAGGGATTTCCCCGTCCCCCCCACTCATCTCATTTGTGGTGCAGGAGGTTGAGGAAGAAAAAGCTGAGTTCTAACAAACTGTCGGGTTCCTGGTTAAATCAGTTCTCAACACCAGCCAGTTTGTAGAAAGCTAACTTTATTGAGACATTTGATAGATACCATCTTGGACACGTCTAGTTAGAACAAAAGTTAAATGCGCGAAGGCTACAGATATAGGGAATTCAAGTAAAAGCACTAAAGATCAGGACCCAATCACCCCCCCCCATTTGCCCGCCAGAACTAACCGTCAGCTCCCCCCCCCTTCCCCCATAGGCACGTAGCCTTTCATAGCAAGGAAACAAGAGCACAGACATGTGAGAAGCCCGGACATTTGGCATCTCGAAGGTGACAAGCCCCAGACACTTCAAAGAGAGGGAGAGAGAGGAGCTTCCTCTCTCAAAGACAGGCGAGCTGTAAACTGCAAAATGCACAGAGAGCCTGATAGCTGGAGGGGGGGGAAACATGAGTGTCTGTAAATTGTCCTCAGTAGCTGTAAAAAAACCCAACAACCTTGACAAGGTTTGCCTGCAGCAGATATGCCTCAGCTCTAGTCCCCTCCCTCCCTCTCTACTCTGGATATAATTTCTTTATTTATTTACATCATTTATACCCCACCTTTCTCCCTAGTGGGGTGACCCAGAGCAGCTTCTATTGTTCTCCTCTTCTCCATTTTATCCTCACAACAACCCTGTGAGGTAGGTTAGGCTGAGAGTGTATGCCTGGCTCACGGTCCCCCAGCAAGCTTCCATGGCAGAGTGGGGATCTGAAGGAAGGGGGGTCTCCCAGACCCTAGTCCTTCCTCCAAACACCACACTATGTAGGCTCTCTTCTTCTCCTTTTTGTTTGCTCCTTCCTGACTGTACCCAGCATGATCGTGCCCACTCTGTGTCACCCGCTCTTTCACCTTTCTGTTCCATCGTGGCTCAAAGCCCTACCCCCAATGTAGGTGCAGTGTGCTGTCCATGCCTACAGACTGGGCTTTCTCTAATGACAGACAACTTTAAAGTTCAAGTCAGGATTTGGATGTGGAGTTTAGAGGCAGAAATACTGGAGTAATGCCCACCCTTTTCTCCCCAGTTTAACTCTGGGAAATCCATCAGTCTCCGCCTGATCTTACAGCTATGTGGATGCAACCTTGTTTCCAGTGACAAAAAACAAATGGTGGATGAGGCCAACCATGTTTGGTGGTGCTCAGTATTAACTTGGCCATGCAAAAGTACTGCTGTGCTCTGTTCATGCTACACTTGTGCCCCTCAAAGTGTGGGGAAGGATGCAAGGGGAGCAGCCTCTTTGGGTGTCTGATGGTGTATTTTGCTTTTCCTCCATCAGGGAGTATCCAGGGATTGTGCGGTGACCCAGGAATCCCTTCCCATGGCATTCGGCATGGTGGCAATGACTTAGGTGTGGAGAGCACCGTCTGGTTCAGCTGTGAGCCGGGCTACATGCTCCGAGGGTCACTGCAACGCATTTGTCAGGCCAACGGCTCCTGGAGTGGCATGCAGCCAGAATGTGAAGGTGAGTATGCCTCAACAGGTCCCCTGAGCATAGCAATGCATTGGTGCAAAGTAATCATTAGGGATGAATGCAAAATCCAACTAGGTGGGGTTTTGCAATTGCTTCAGCTTCCCCTCCTCCCCCACTACTGATCAAATTGAGCCCCATTCCACAAGACTTCTGATGGCCATCTGACAAAAGTTCCTTTTTTAAAAGCCAATTTTCTACCCACTGTCAATAGTGACTGCGATCACTGGGGATTTCCCCCCCTAACAGCTATGAGCAATGGTCTTCTTCACTCTCACAACTTAGAATCATAGAGTTGGAAGGGACCTCCAGGATCATCTAGTCCAACCCCCTGCAAAATACAGACAATTCACAACTACTTCCCCCACACACACTCCATGGCCAGAAGCAACCTACACAATACATGATTTCTGTTAATGCTTGGAAAACCTTAGGAAGCTATCAGAGAATATTTGCCAAGGTGTTTATTGAATTGCAAGAACAATCCAGCACACTCCTTTAATGCTTAGAAGTTAGAGTCTACATTTGGGCTCCCAACAGGGATTGTGACTGGCACAGAAAGAGTCACTTTGAAAATCAGTCTGGAATTCCAAAATCCAAGAAGGTGGGCAGCCATGTTGGTCTGAAGCAGTAGAACAAATTTTGAATCCAGTGGGACCTTCAAGACCACCAAAGGTTTATTCAAGGTATGAGCTTGAAGTATCTGAGGAAGTGTGCATGCACACAAAAGCTCATACCTTGAATAAACTTGAATGATCTTAAAGGGTGCCACTGGACTCAAAATTTGTTCCAAAATCGAAGATTAGGGTTGTTGAGAGAAATTCTCTTAATTTCTCTTTACCCAGTTTCTCCCTGCACTCCAGCGGTGTTTCTTTTCCTCTTTTTAGGAATTTGGAATCCATTTCCAATCAATTCCATTTTGGTCAACGAGAAATTTGAAGAGAGGAAGGGCAGGAAGGGGAGGTTCATCAAAGGTTTAGAATCTCACTCTGTATATGCTCAGAGGCAGGCAATGTCTTCTTCTCCTCCTCCTCCTCTTAGAGCACCACTCTGTGGTGTGTAGCATGAAACAAAAGCAAGGGCTGGAGTAACTAAAGGGTGCTTTGATTTCTCTTCAAAGAGAAATTCGTCTTTTTAAAAGAGAAAAAAGAATAAGAGGAATCAGTGTCTTTGTCTAAAAAAGTGAATTTTGTAAAAATAATTTCCCCCCCATAATAACATTAATCCAAAGAAATACTTCTTTTACACAGCAAGTGATTAAAATGTGGAATTTGCTGCCAGAGGATGTAGTGATGGCCACAGGCATAGACGGCCTTAAAAGGGGATTAGATAGATTCATGGAGAATAAGTCTATCAATGGCTAATCTAGGGGTGTGCAAAAAAACCCAACAACATTCAGCCGGATTCAGATTTGGCTGAATCGGACAGAATCAATTTCGGCTGGCAGAAAGACTCCCGCATGTCAATTTTAGCAGTAGGAACCCATTCTGGAGTCTTTCTGCCAGCCGAATGTCAATTTCGGCCCCATTATATCCTATGGGCCATTGAAGTCAATGGTGAAAACATAGAGTATATTCTGGGGGCTGGAGGAGAGGGGGTTTGAGGGAAAGGCTCCAAACTCGCAGGGAAGCTGCTGGGGCCTCTCCCCAAGATGCCCTCCAAGTTTTAAGAACATTGGACCAGGGGGTCCAATTTTGTGGGCCCCCAAACAGGTTGCCCCCATCTCCTCCATTGTTCTCTATGGTGGGAAAAAAACGTTAATTTTCAAAGGCTTCTCAGCATGCGCCTCATCACGGGTGCATTTATTTCTATATAGAGTGCCTGCCATGCTCATTGTGTTTTACAGACCACCAGACAGGCTTCAAGGGCAGGCTCCTTAGGAACTTTTGGACCTTTATTGCCACAGGGTGGAGTCTGAGCATTTCGAGTCCAGTGTCCAGAAATGGGTTCTGCTGCAGGAATCATGCCCCAAGCCTTACTATCATCATGTCCCATTGCAAACTCTGTGGGCCAAAGCAACTTGACAGAGTTTGCAACTGTTGTATTAGAAGTCTTTGAAGTCCATGATAACCCAGGCATGAGCTGTTTATTAGGATCATGACCCAAAGGTGAGGTGTCAGACATGCTGGGAGACATTTCCCAGAAATGACACCAACATACCTAAAACCCATAACTCTTGAGACCTATGACTTGTTCAGATAGTCTGAATTAGTCTCATATTGTCTGGCCTGCCTTATATGCCCTGCTTTCTGTGCCCCCACCTTCAGAGGTGAGGCTGGTGGCAACTAGAAACAGGGCTTTTTCAGCAGTGGCACCCTCTTATGGAATGCCCTTCCCCTTGAGGCTTGCCTGGCATCTACATTGCTTTCTTTTAGGTCAAGGCCAAAACATTTCTGTTCATCCAGGCTTTTCATTAAAGGGTTGATATTTTTTAACACGATTGTAGTCTGGAAATACTTATTCTAAGCTGTCACTGGTCTGTTTTTAAATGGTCTGTGTTTTTCTCCTGGGCTGGGTTTTTAAATGCTGAGTTTCAGTTAATATCTTTTTAACGTTTTGTTTTTATTACTCTATAAGTTGCCACAGGGAGGTTCCCGGAGAGGCGGCATAAAATTTTTCTAAATAAATAATAGGAGGTAATGGAGTAGAAAGAAGCTTTTCAGTTTCCCAAAAGCATTCTCAGTCCAGACTGATTTGCATTAAATTTCATATCAAAAGCCTCATAAGCATCAGCACGTGTTATAATTAATTCCTTGTCTTGGGCAGTGGTTATATGAAGAAGCAGAAGAATCCTGGGTAATGTAGCATGATAAACCTCAGGCAAACTTTTTCTGACTCGTGCTGCTCTAAGGCTGCGGTCACACACGCTAAATCCACTTTCAATCCACTTTCGAATTGGATTTTGCCAGTTCACACAGGAAAAATCCAGTTGGAATGTGCATTGAAAGTGGATTATTTAGCATGTGTGACTGCAGCCAAAAAGGATTTAATTATCAATCAGTGGAAACGGCATGCAAACAGACCCAAGCGAGCTTGCCTCTCCCTCCCTGGCTGATCGGAAAGCCAAGGGCTTTGCAAATGAGCTAGAAATTTATTCTGAGTTGATGCAGCCAATGATTGAGAAGATGCTGTGTCCCATTTATTAATATACTGAAGGGTTTGATTTTATTTCAAAAAATCTTCTCTGTACTTTTTCTGCGTCTTCTTTCTTTTTTCCCCCCTTGCTGACGATAGGGAGGGGTTATGTGTATTAATCCCAGGATAAATAACTTGTCACGTTCAAAAACGACCAGGAATACAGAATCCCAGGCAGGCTTTTAATCACTGCTTTATGAATAATAGGAATATTATGCCCCTAATGCGGATCCTTTAATGTTAAGCACTCACTGATCAGGGGAAAGAAAGTAATTCACAGTGATGTGTCATCCGTGGGCGCCTTTGATTTGTATTCAGGACAAGGAGAGAGGGGAAAGTATTCAGAGGACTGGCAGTCAAACCTGAATTGCAGAATGATACTGTTGGAAAAGAGCCAAACGAATCATCCCTTCAGTGGCCTGGGACTGGACTGCTATATGCAACTCAGAGGTTCCGGGCTTGATGGAGGACCTCTTAACACCTCTTTATGACTGCAGCTGGGAAGCAAAGCAGAGATACTGCTTTTGGATCCGAGAAGGGATGGAATGGTTTATTGCAGAGAATTGTGCAGGTACCTCAAAGACGAGGCCAGCCCAGGACATTCCGGCACTGAGGCATAAAATGGAAATTACTCTCCCACCGCCTTGAGGTTACGCAAAACAGTAAATAAAATAATGATGCTACTAAAAACTAGTGCATCGAAAGCCAGGTCTTTTCCAAAGGCATGTGTCTCAATGAAATTATAGTGCAGAGTGGAATCCTCCATTGGGATGCAGAGGTGATCGGCACATGTATGTGCTGTGGTGTGCCAGAGAGACCTGTAGGAGGTTGGGGGGGGGGACTGAAGATCACAGCAAAATCTGCATATGGCAGTTCTGAAATGAATTAAATTGGAGTGCTAAACATGGGCAGATGGTAAAGAACAGACTGGGAGACATCCATGCTCTCAGCTATTTTCATCTCCTTAAAGCGCCCCATGAAGGCACTACAAGCTCCACTGCAAACCTTTGTGCAGGGTGCATCAGGAACATGATTTTGCAAACAGAGCTAATAGCAGCTCCCCAGGATACTTTAGGAGGGAGAACACAGTGTGGTGGGGAAGGCACCCCTCAGTTCTTTCTGTGCACCTCGGACATGAGGATAAAAGGGCTCATGTGAGACAGAGAGACACAAAACTCCTGTTGAATGTCAGTTTCAAAGTCCTCACTGCTGCTGTTACAAGTACTTTGTAACATATAAGGGCCCCCTCAGGGTGGGCTATGGATTATGATTCCCTCTTCAATGGGCCGTCGGCAGGCGTGGAAAATGTGGTATCCTTTAGGGGGACTCCTCTAGACCTACATCAGAGATGCCATGCAGTCGGACGCAGCAGGATTGTGCTTCTGCCCACCTCGTTCTACATCAGCTGGCAAAGGAGCTTATTCTTATCAGGGCTTATAAATTGTCGTTCTCCATAATCACTGACATTCACAGGGAAGAGAAAATCCCAATCAATATTTTAAAGGCTACAAATGGTTCAAAATTAAGCAAGTTAATTAATCAGTGTGCGCGAGAACTTTAAGGGGTTTGTGTCTCTGTTTTATGCCATTCTGGCTGTCTCGTATCCAAGGCCCGCTTTCCATGCTGATATGTCAGGCTTCATTTGGCTTTAATTTGCTATGTCTTTTAAAAAGGAAATTGGCATTTAAAAATAATAATAAAAGGAACAGAAAGCCCAGAGCTTTTCTCATCCCTCTTCCGAGAGAAGGACTGAATGAGGCCATGGGAAAGTGGGTGGGAGAGAGGAATGATACCGGAAGATTTTTCAAGAGCTGTTCGTCATAGCTGCTGTTGCTGTTTTTATGGTTCTCTCCAGTTACGTTTCATACCCCCCGACTGGATTTCGAAATGAGACTTTTGTTTAAAATTGAACCACTTAAATGCGACAAAAGACAGGGCTATGCCAAACACAGGCTGCCGTTATCTCATTTTAAATTAATGCTGCTGCATTTTTATTTTAATTGGCTAACATTGTTCTGTCCCATGTTCTGATATGAGCAGCAGCAAAGGTACATTTACAATGGTGGGTTTGTTAAGATTTTGACATTGTTCCCCCACTTTGCATTTCAAGTGAAACGTAAGATGCTGTTTAATTTAAATAGCATGTGTAATTGCCAGCTCTGATGCCAGGACTTCAGAGGATGCTGGAGGCTTTCAGCTGTGTCAAATATTTCAGGAAATATGTTGCAGCTTGTAAAGGCCATGGTTTAGGACCTTATATTGAGTACTGATGAAGATTAAAAGGGAGGGGTGTGTGCCCTGGCATAAACCCACCTGTTTGTTTGTCTCCAAGGGCCTAGGAAACTGCCTTAGATGAAGTCAAACTAGATGAGCATTGTGGCTCTCCAGGGTCTCAGGCAAGGACAGACAGTCCTTGAGCATTTAGAAAGGATGACTGTGATTACTAAGAGCCAGCATGGGTTTCTCAGAACAAGTCAGGTCAGACTAACCTTATTTCTTCTTCTTCTTCTTCTTTTGAGAAAGTTACTACCTTGCTGGATCAGGGGAATGCTGTAGACATAGTTTATCTTGATTTCAGTAAGGCTTTTGATAAGGTTCCACATAATATTCTTGTTGACAAATTGGAAAAATGTGGTTTGGATCCTATGACTGTTAGGTGGATCTGTAACTGGTTGACAGATCACACCCAAAGAGTGCTTGTGAATGGTTCCTTATCTTCTTGGAGAGGAGTGACTAGTGGAGTGCCTCAAGGATCTGTCCTGGGACCTGTTTTGTTCAACATCTTTATCAATGATTTGGATGAAGGGATAGCGGGAATGCTTATTAAATTTGCAGATGATACTAAATTGGGAGGGGTAGCAAATCTTTTGCGCTCCCCATGGAGCCCTTGCGAAATGGGCTCCTAGCCAGGGGGCTTTTGGAGAGCCCTTCCTCTGGCCGACAGCTGTCACAGGGGGGCTACTCTGTGCCCCGAAGGTCCTGCCCTGATTCCCAGCATTGGACTCAAAGCGCACGCCGGGACAAGCGTATGAAGGTTTGGCGATTTAACTCTGCCCAGCGAGATCCCAGGGAGACCTGCTGGATCGTCCTGAAGACTGATGAGTGAGTTAAAGTTGAAGCGAAATATAGAAGCCCTGATGCGAAGCCCCCTCAATACAAGCGGGGGGGGGGACGCCCTACCCCCTAAATGACCTAATGAAGCGGAAACACGAGGGGGGGACTGAGCATGCAGTGGCATGGATTATAACAGAAAGACTAGAGCAGAGAACTTTTCCAAAAAATAAGCGTTTACAGACCTCTGAGACTTTGGCAACTTTGTTCGGTAAATGTAAACATTCCCCCAAGATGATGATCGGAGACTTTGAGGAAGGCGGGACCCAAGCTTTCCCCAGGAAGAAGGAGATCAGAGGGTTAGGTCAGGTGACCTAATCATAGACTCTTCCTACAGCTCAAAATCGCTCGCCCTCTGCTGGCAAAAGCGGTGTACTGGATGGAACCGGCTCTAAATGTTGCTGTACTTTTAAAGGGAGAGTGTCTATACCAAGAAGCAGCAAATCTTTGATCACAGAGGACATTAAGACTGTATGGAGACTCTAAAGTTTAGCTTATATAGGATGGTTGCAGGCAGATTAAAAAGCAATTTCGGAGCAAAGGGTTTGGCCACCCTTACTTCATAAAATCTGCCTACAAAGTGAACGGTCAGATTCTCCAACCAGCGTGTGTTGGAAGCAGCAAAAGGAAGGACCCCTATGATCTAAGACAAGCAAGAAATCGAATGAAAGTCCTGGGGAAAGCGGTATTAATTGGACAGAGCCTGTTATATTGAAGCTGATAGTGAAAGAAGATTTAACAGAGAAGGAAGAGGATAAATCTGTGTGATTGTATAGACTGAGGGAACCTTGGCTCCACAATGTTATATCTGTGGGGGGGGGGGAAGCATATAGGGAGATGCCGAACTCTCTCAAGGTCTATATCTTTGTTAATTAGCTAATTACTCTCTGTCTAGCCTGATAAGCTGGTTTCGACAACTGAAGCGATGATTGATGATACTCCTCATGTCTGAAAGTAATTGTTAAGCATAACAAATCTTTTCTTTAAGCAGTTTGTAACCTTCAACACTTGGGCTTTTAGTGCCTTCTTTTTCTTTCTCCCATACCTTGTAGTCTCCCCTCGCATCCCCTTTTCGTTGTAGTTTGTAGTTTTTTTAGAAATAAAAAAAAGAGAGAGAGAAGCTGTTTAGATGATACAGAGTCTAAAAGATTGTGCAAGGGAAGATGGAAGGAGCTCAGCATGCTTACTGAAGGGGGGGAACTGCATAAGGGGGATATTGTAAAGATATTTTAGTAGTAGAACAAGAGCTACGTAGGGTTGGTGCGATTTTGAAATAGCCTTCCTTACACAGTTCTTTTGTTCGTTTTTCCTGAATATATTCTACAGTAGTTCCCTCCTTCTGGTTACTGTAAGTTTCGCACATATTTCTCAGGTCCAATCTGCAGCATCTGCAGGATCTCAGACTGGGGAACAACCTGCTGTTTACAGCAACAAGTACTAAGCTAGATGGGCCACCAGTAATGGGGGAGCACATTTTGCATGGAGGAGGTCTGTGGTTCAGTCCCTGCTGTTTCTGTATCAGGACTGGGAAAGACCTCTGTCCGATACCCTGGAGAACCACTGCCACCCCAAGTATTACTGGATTAGGTAGGCCCAGTGGTCTGATTTGGTAGAAGCAACCCAGTATGTTAACCCGAATGCTTCTTCAGTTGGGCTTTCCTTTGTGGGTAACATATGTGGGAAATCATTTTGCACTTCTCATTCGGCCTTTATTTTATGTGCTAATGTATTTATTGCAGTTATATCTTGCGGAAACCCAGGGACCCCCAGCAATGCAAGAGTGGTATCTTATGATGGCCTGGAATTCTCCAAGTCCATTGTATACGAATGTCGGGAGGGATATTACTCTACAGGTGTGCTCAGTCGGCATTGTACTGTCAACGGAACTTGGACTGGGACTGCTCCTGAGTGTACAGGTGAGTAACCCAAGGAGAGTTGACACAGAGCTTACTTCTTCAGATACTATAGAAGAAATGAACCCTTTTACCTCAATTCTACAGAAAATTACAGACAGGGAGGGAGAAAGGGAGGAGTTGAACAGAGAGAGGCCTAGGATAATAAATTAGGTGAGATTCTCTATGTGGGGACTTGAACCACTTGAATGGTTAAATGGATGATGGGAGATGCTCTCTTACATGTAGTGAAGATAAGCAAAAGTGCAATGAAATAGTGTAAATAACAAACTAATTAAGAAAAAGGTAGTTTGAAGCATGAGAAAATTGACCGACGTTGGTAAAGGGCTGCAGTTTTTTTGCAACATGGTAAGAACAGTCTATTGAAGTTATTAAAAGGAGCGTTCTCTTGGGTTATTAGAAATTATAATGAATGAGGAATTTCAAGTCTTGATTTAAACCAGGATGACAGAAGGTGTTTAGTTTCTTGATGAGCTCTAATTTAACACTTTCATGTTGTATACTCCTTTTGAACTTTTTCTGGAGAATGATGTCTTTCAGATCTGCAACAGAATGTCCAGGAAGATTAAAATGTTCACCAACTGGTTTTCAATTATTGCCTTTTCTTGTGTCAGATTTCTGCTCATTCATTCTCTCATGTAAGGATCAACACATTTGTCCAGTTCAGATAGTAGAAGGGCACTGCTGGCACATGATGGCATATATTAAATTGGACGATGTGCAAGTGGATGAGCCCAAGATAGTTGTTGCTGATGCCATTAGGCCCTGCAGTGTTATTACCCAAAGGTGTGTGGGGATAAAGTTGGCATCTAGGTCTGGTGCAGGGTTGGGTTCTTGGACTTGTATCTCTCTTGGGCAGTCCAGTGTTGTTGGTAAGAAGCTGTTTTAATTTGAGGGGCTGTCAGTAAGCAAGGAAAAGCCTGCCCACCGAAACCCATGAAAGAGAAATATATTTTTCCAGGAGAGGCTGTAGGTCATTAATGATGCCTTGGAGTGGTTTAAGTTTTGAGCTGTAACTGAAGGCCAGTGGGGCTCTGTCATTGCCTTCCTCGTGTCTGTCTTGTAATAGGCTTGGTCGGGGTATTATTCTGGCTTTGTTGATCTGCTGTTCTACTATGCTGAAAGTGTATTTGAATCCCCAAAATGCCTTCTGTAAATCCTCAAGAGTTAGAGTCCCTGAAAGTAATGAAGTGCTGGACTTTAGATTATGGATTTTTGGATGTGTTCTGGGTGGTAATTGGAAGCATGTCAGTATGTCTGGTGGTCAGTGGGTTTTCAGTATAAGATGGTGTTATGCAGAGTTTCATTGTGTGTCCAGGAAATGTACCTCCTATGTGTACTGGTCCATGCTGAGGTTGACGTTGGGGTAAAAATTGTTGAAGTCCTGATAGAAGTTCTCAAGATCTTGTTTCCTGTGCATCCAGATGATCATCACTAAATCTTAAATACAGAACAGTTGTTAATGGTAGGAACACCACAGTAGTTCAGAAACACCAGCCCCAAACATTTATGTCATAAATCAAAATATTACTTTCAGCTTGATATTAGATCTGATTCAGAAGGCATAAGTTACGGTTCACCCTTTTCCTTTGATCCATTTGCAAATGGGAGTGCTGAGAGACCAATGGCTTTTCCTTTGCAGTGAAATTTATACAAGTGACCAAAAGATTGTTTGTTGGTATGCTTGAAATATGGATTGTCAGCATTAAAAAAAATTGACCTGTGTTTGATACACTTAATTTTTAAGGAAAAAACACTCCAGATTGTTATGTATTAAAAAATCTTATATTTGTATGCAAAATATTAGCATCCAGTTTGGAGGAGACACATTCCCCCTCCAAGCCCACCATTAAAATTCTGTCTGTGTGTGTGTGTGTGTGTGTATGTTATAAACCAATGAGTCTTTATTGCTATATATATGTTTTAAAAGTGGAATTTTCAACAATGTAGGTAATTCCCCCCCCCCTAGAATTCAACTCATCTAATTGGAAATAGGTAACCCCTATTATAGTGTAGGACCGCAGCAGCTTAGAAGTTAAGATGCTAAGTTGCAAACTGGAAGGTCTGTAGTTCAGCAGTTTGAGGTTCTAGTGCCACATGATGGAGTGAGCTCCCATCTCTGGCCCCAGCTCCTGCCAACCTTAGCAGTTCAAAAGCAAGAAATTGCAAGCAGATAAATAGGTACCACTTCAGAGGGAAGGTAACAGCATTCTGTTGCCTCGGCGTTCAGTCATAGAATCATAGAATTATAGAGTTGGAAGGGGCCATACAGACTATCTAGTCCAACCCCCTGCCCAGTGCAGGACCAGCCTAAAGCATCTCTGACAAATATTCGTCCAGCCTTTTCTTGAAAGCTGTCAGTGAATCAGGGGAGCTAACCACCTCCCTAGGCAGCTGATTCCACCTTTGAACTACTCTGATGGTGAAAAGGTTTTTCCTAATATCCAGCCGATACCTTTCTGAATGTAATTTAAACCTGTTGCTTTGGGTCCTATCTTCTGCTGTCAACTGGAACAGCTCCTTGCCCTCCTCCAAATGAGAGCCTTTCAAATATTTAAAGAGAGTAATCATGTCCCCCCTCAATCTCCTCTTCTCCAAACTAAACATTCCCAGGGCCCTTAACCTTTAATTATAAGGTTCTGATGTCTGGATCCAATCTGTTCAAGGAGGGCAGCATCCATTTCCTGTCCCTCGTCAGGTGGTCTGTAGCAGACTCCAACAACAATACCCTTTGTCCTACCTCCCCTTATTTCCACCCATATACTTTCCGCGGGGCTGTCCACCACATTCTCCATAACTTCCTGACATTCTAGCCCTTTATCACTGCCGGTCATGCCAGCCACATGACCATGGAGAAGTCTTTGGACAGCACTGGCTCTTCAGCTTGGAAACGGAGATGAGCACTGCCCCCTAGAGTCAGATTTGACTGGCTTTTGAGCAAGGGAAACCTTTACCTTTACCTATTATAGTGTAATAGTATGTAATCATAAGCAGAGTTAAACCCTTCTGAGTCCATTGAAGTCAATGGTGCTTAGGACTACACTGAAAGAGTATTTATTTATTTATTTATTTATTCAATTTATACCCCGCCCTCCCTGCCATGGCAGGCTCAGGGCGGCTTGCATAAAATTCCATATATAATGACAAGGTCTCTTACCTTGTCTGTGGCCTGTCTTGGTAACCTCAGATCAGTGTTTCCAAAAGTTCTGATAGCCAAAGCACACTTTTTTCTGAATTAAATTTAGTGGCACATTTCCCTCTTACACCTGAAAAGATGCCCCCCCCCCTTTATGCAGGAGTATGAAGTACCAGTCCATTACATTGCTGTGGGGGTCACTGTTTTGGGTCTCCCTCCTCTGAGACCAAGTTATTCTGTCACATCTTTGCACTGGAAATAATGGAGTGCTTCGATCATATCAGATGAAGAGCTGTGGCAGAATTACCACGCCTGGTGGAGGCTGATTGGTAGGACGCAAAACCCAGTGCAGTCACTCATACAGAGATGTGATGACCAGCCTCTTCTGAGAGTGAATTGGGGGGGGGGGTTGTGTGTGTGTGTGGTGCACGTAGGTGCCATGCACACAGTTTGGAAATGACTGCCATAGGTGATTTATTTATTTAAATATTTATACCCTGCTTTTTCTCCTGTGGGGACCCAAAGCAGTTCTCACCACCTCAATTTTCTCCTCACAAGAACCCTGAGCAAGAGTAACTGGCCACTCACCAAGCTTCTGTGGCAGAGTAGGGATTCAAACCTGGGTCTTCCAGATCCTTCTCTAGCCTCTACACCGGGAGACCCCCATTGGCCTACTTTTCGTAATATGAGGGATAATAATTTTGGCCTGTGTTGCCATGCAGTGGTAAGGCCCTATTAATACCATTTCTCTCTCTCAATTTAAAATCGAGATATGCAGCTTTGTTTTTGAGAAATGCTGGCTTTATCCTCTCTCTCTCTCTCTCTCTCTCCCTCCCCCTCCCTCCCTCCCTCCCTCCCTCCCTCCACAGTGATAAACTGTGGGGATCCTGGTGTACCAGCCAATGGCATTCGGCTGGGCAGTGATTTCACTTACAATAAGACTGTTGTGTTCCACTGTATGCCCGGCTATACCATGGAATCAGACAGGGCCTCTGCACTGACCTGCACAAAAGACCGGACTTGGAACAACACAAAGCCTGTCTGCAAGGGTGAGTCTGACCTAATGGCTTAGCATGCACAGGGTTTGTTTTGGATTAGGAGCTGTGGCTCAGTGGTAGAGTATCTGCTTGGCATGTCCCAGGTTCAGTCCCCTCACCTCAGTTAAAAGGGTCAGACAGTAGGTGATGTGAAAGACCGCAGCCTGAGACCCTGGAAGGCCACTGCCAGTCTGTGTAGACAATACTGATCTTGGTGGACCAAGGTCTGATTCAATATAAAGCAGCTTGTATGCCTAAAAGTGCATGTTACCCAAGGTCAGTGGGATGGCGACCAGAGACAGGGCCTTCTCCGCAGATGCCTCTAGATTGTGAAAAACCCATCCCATAGTAGTTTGCCTGGTGCCAAGCTTGTTTGAACTTTATTACCCAGGACGCGGGAACGTTCGCTCAAATTTTGAACCCTTCCTCCCACTAATATCTTCATTGTTTGTATTGCTTCTTTCTATTACATTTATTTGTTTAGAAAAATTATTTCAAAAAGGACTATGCCACCTCTCCAGAGAACCTGCTCTGTTTAAGTGCTGTTTGTTCAGTTTTCTTGCTTTTGGTGTGGGTTTTTTTTTGTGTGGTTTGTTTTGGATATTTATGCTTTTAATGCTGTGAGCCTCCTCAAGCATTTTTAATGGAAAGCTGGACAAGAAATATTTTCAGTAAATTAAATTAGCAGCATGACCTAAGTCCTCCCCAAGATATGTGGATAACAGCAGATGGTTGCTGACCAGTGTTCCCTCTAAGCTGAGTTAGCGTAAGCTAGCTCACAGTTTTTTAGCCTCCAGCTCACAGATTTTTATCTTAGCTCAGGAAGGATGGCTCCAGAACAAACGAATCAATGCAAGAGCCAAATCGCTCGCTCACAACGTTAATGCCAGCAGCTCACAAAGTAGGATTTCTGCTCACAAGACTCCACAGCTATATCAAGAGAATCAGTTAACCTTAGTCACCGCTTGTAACCATGGTAGGGTTGCTGCTGTTGGGGGGGGGGATCCTTGCTCCTTTCTGGGAGTTTCTGTGCCTGGGGCTCGATGAAGTGACATCATCACGCTGCCGACACTGCACGGTGATGCTCTAGGTTTTGGGCAAAACTCCATGGTTTTGAGCCCAAATTTACCATAAAATTTTGTCCCAAACCTAGAGTGTCACCGTGCAACATCGGCGGCATGGTGGTGTCACTTCTGAGTGACATCATCATGCCGCATTTGTGGTCAGGGTCCCCTCCCCCACTGGCCAGCTGGCAGGCAGTGGGGAGGAGCCAGCAAAAGCAGAGAAAACCTCACCCAGACCAGGGGGCTGGCAACCCTAAACCACAGTGTGAGTGGTGATAAGAAGCTCAGAGGTCATTTCGGGGGGAACGCGGGGGAACACAGTTCCCCCGGGTGAGGTACAGGGGGGCGGGGCACATGACGAAGCCCCGCCCCCCGCTTCCGGCCTCCCCGCTTCCGGCCCTCATTCAGCCAGGAGGAGGCAGGAGAAGAGGGAGGGTAAGTTGCTTCCTCCCTGCCTCTCCCCATCCCTGCCTGCCTGGGCCAAGGAGGGCCTTCGTGGGGCTTCCTTGCACTCCGCTGGCCTTGCAGGTCCACCGCCTGTGGAGCTGCAAGGCCAGCAGCGGCGGCCGGGACCGTTGGGGGCAGGGTGTGTGGTCTTATGACACACTTCCGGTGATGTCAGGGGGTGTGGCCTTTTGACACACTTCCGGTGATGTCAGGGGGTGTGGCATATGCTAATGAGTTATGCTAATGAGTTCCCCTAGCTCTTTTTCTACGAAACGACCCCTGAAGAAGCTTCATTGACTTAATTCATTAATGCCCCTCCTGTCTCCCCAGTGGGAGCTCAAAGCAGCTTACACCATTCTCTTGTCCTCCATTTTATGCTCACAACAACCCTGTGAGGTTAGATTGTGCTAAGAGTGTGTTATCGGCCCAGGGTCACCCAGCAAGCTTCCATGTCAGAGTGAGGGTTTAAAACTGGGTCTCCCAGATCCTAGTCTAACCACCACTCCTCATAATATAGCAATCTCATAATATAGCATAACTCTTATAAGCAGCTGATCGCCACCTGCCCACCCGCTGAATGTCAGCAGTGGGATAGCCTAAAGCTGCTGCTGTGGATGCTGCACCTATTCTGAATGAGTGAGTGCCAAACTTCACTCCAGAAAGACCTAACAATCCCAAAGCCCGGGCCGTAACGGCCCCAAACTGGTGCTTTGTCAGCAGGCTCCCGTCTTCATATATAAAGAGGTATCCGTCCACCCTGCCCCTTAAAGCCGTGTATTGAGATAAAGCCAATACCAGACAAAGTTCCGTGTCCGAACAGACACCCAACTTAACCACCTACCCTTTATGTCGCTGGTCAGTCTTAGAACCCCTACTCGTAATGTGTGCCTCCTTACCTATAAATTGGAGGTCCCTATTGTGCAATGCCCTGCCAGACTGGTCAGTCTTGGACAGTGCTACCAGCTCACTTACTCTAAGCGCTCCAAAAAACACAAGGAGCAATGGTGCATGGAAAATGCAGGTTTCATAACCTGAATTGCAGTCCAGGTTGCTTGCAACCCTTTAAGCACTGCCGGTGAAATAGGACGCCTCTGGTCCTTCAATGCCCCCTTTTCCCAAGTCCAAACCTCTAACATCTTCCAAATTCAAAAGTCGCTAGTGACTTTCTGAAAACCTAGAGCCTTGCTGGCAAATGCAAGGGCAGAAAGGCGCCCCCATATGGAGCTCACAGTCAAACCTGCCTCCTTTAAGGAAACAGAATAATGGAGCCACCGCTGCACTGAAATGGGCCAGACCTTAGCATAACCCTCATGTTTCCTAAACTCTTCGAATTGGTGAACTGCACATTCATACCCTCTTCACGTGCTAGGGGCAATGGCGAGGCCTATACCCTGCAAGCCTCGGCCCTCCAACCTGCCATAGCTCCGGGGGCATTCTTGCCGGCAGAAGATCGGTGTTTGGAGCAAGCTGACGAGCCTCGCCATCTGTTTGTGAGAGAGAGCGTCAGCTACCCCGTTATCCACCCCCAGCACATGCCTAGCTAGAAATAATGCGTTAAGCCTAAGGCACCGCAGTGGAAATGCGCGGACCAGGCACATTACTATGGGCAATTTGGATGTGAGGGAATTGATGACATGGACAATTGCCAAATTGTCACACCAGAAGTGGACTGTGTTATCCGCCAATTCATTTCCCCACAGCCAAACCGCCACTAGAATGGAGAAGAACTCTAAAAATGTCAGATCCCTAGTTAACCCAGCTGAAACCCACTCCGCAGGCCATTCCTCCGCGCACCAATGTCCGGCGTGGAAATAAACCCCAAAGCCCGAGACCCAGCTGCATCAGAAGTGACCTGGAGCTCAGCCTCGAGCTTCAAATCCTCCCTCCAAAAGGATACTCCCATTGAAGGAAGCCAAGAACTCCTGCCAAACCTTAAGATTAGCACACATAGTGCTATTGACACGCACTCTGTGGTGCAGAAGGCGCAGCCCAGCCATGGCATCACAGAGCCTCCACAAGAAGGCCTGTCCTGGGTCAACCACTTTGTATGCAAAGTTGAGATGCCCCACAAGCTGTTGTATTTCCCTTAAGGTGGCCTTCTTTTGTGTAAAAAATGCACTAAGACGGGCTTGCAGATGCTCCACTTTATCAAGTGGCAAGCAGGATGTTTGAGCCACTGTATCCAGCTCAACCCCTAGAAAAACTAACCTCTGCACAGGACCCTCAGTCTTTCCGTGGGCCAAAGGAACTCCCAGCTCATCAGCTAATTGCTGAAACCCTACTAAGAGCTGGGTGCACCTGCCTGTTCCTTGCGGACCCACAAAAAGAAAATCGTCCAAATAGAGTGCAATATCCTAAAGGCCCGTTTTAGCTCTCACTGTGACTGGTCACGGACATAAACTGGAGCCAAAGATGAGGATGCATTCTATCCCATGGAAGCTTGGGATTCATGGCTGCTCACATTCTGAACTCCACATCATACAGCATCCATGCCGGGCCAGGAAAACCTGTATAGGCTTTGTAAATAATGTCCAGATACTGGAACAGTGCCGTGGCCCTCCATGGCTTAGAACATGATATCACTCCAGCATAAATTAAATAACCTGGCAGCCAATTAGCCCACATCCGGTCAACCTTTCTCTTTTTTAGAACCTCCTTATCTTTGTCATCCAGCTTCTCTTTATCCTTCTCTAAATCACGGTAAAGAAGGCTAAAGAGGTCAGTGTAATCACCTTTACAAATCTTCTCTCGGGTTGCAGGCAAAAGGTGATCACTTAAAGGTAAGGCAGTGTCCCCAAAGGGCATTGCCTTTGCCAACGCAGCATCATAAGGGCTCGTCCAAGGGGGGGGGATAACCCCAACCACCCCAAGGACTAACAGGCATACCCGGCATTTGTGGCGGAAATGTTCCCCAAGGTGCCTGCATGGCTGGGGAAGGAGGGCCCCAAGTCCATGGCTGACTTGCGCTGGCAGAGCTGGATGTAGCATCTGCCTGTGAGGTTCCCACGACCACATCATACTATATTGCAACGCAGGATCCCACCTACCACTGGGCCCCGGGTGTGCAGTATTCACGACTTCCACCAGTGCTGCCTCCTTTTCAACGGCTGCCCCAGCTGCCCCGGTATCCGTCTCAGCATCAGGCCTAGCATTAGCAGGCCTGCATTCAATAGAAGAAAGACGCTTAAGCACCTCCTCCTTGAACTTCTTTCTCCCAGCCCGGCTCTCTTTTTTACGATCGGACCCAGCAGCCACCTGCTGCGAGGCAGCAGCCGCAGCCCCCCTAGCCTGCTCCAAGGTGGCCAGCCTGTCCAGAATAGCTTGGTGCTCTGCCCTTTCTTCCTCATCTTCAGAGGAAGAAGGGACGGTCCCCGCTCCCTGTCTGTGGACGTTAGGCACAGGCCCCTTCAGAGCAAGTCCTTTGCCTTTAGATTTGCCTTGGCCTTTCCAAGATGCCATTCTGTTTTATTATTAATGTATTTATTATCATTCAAAAACTGG